TCTCTCTCTCTCTCTCTCCCTCTCTCTCTCTCTCTCTCTCTCTCTCTCTCTCTCTCTCTCTCCCTCTCTCTCTTTCAGATGATGTGCAATGATAAGCAAAATAATACGTAAGCGACTATATTATTGCTCGCAAGATATACGAAAGGAAAGCAATAAGCTCGAGTATTAACGTATACAATATCCAGATTATATTGCCGATTACCACGAAGATAGTATGACGTTCTCACGCTGATGACGATGACTAATCGTTATATGTTAGCGATCCGCTATCTCGTCAATGCACATTCGCACGTTCGAATAAAGTCAGTTCAAGCGCTGTCTATGTTGAGACCGAAGTTTAAGAATCCATATCACGCGCATCAAGGATTTGAGTCACAACTCGGCTTTGGCGATAATTACCATGCACCGAGCACCAATCGCGCAAAACTTCAATCGACGCTGTTTATATGTTACACACCTATGATACATGCCCCGTCTGCGCCGTCTTCGGGCGTTATTAATTAGGTGCAACTTTGCACACGCGGGTTTATTAATAGCCGCGGTGCACGCGCCGTGCGTTTCAGCTTTCGATTCGGCATTACCGGTTTCTGATAAACGCACGATTCACGGTTGTTGCACGTGTCGTTTGTATCTCCTCCATTCGCCGACTCGTCAACAATCGCGCGACAGATAAAACCGTCGCGAATCTTTCTCGCCGGTATCATGCGATAATACGCATAACAAATAGTGATCTGTCCACGTCGAATTCCACGGAGTGGCGAATCGCTAAATATCGATCTGAAGTCCGCCAAAGAATCGAAATGGAATTTCTGTCTATCTCGGAACGAGTGGCTTACGATGCATTCAGTATCTATTATTATCGTTGACATGATCTTTTAAATCGTCACTGTTCTAATACAGTCATCGATACTTCAACGAAATTTATTAGGAAATGTTTGAATAGAGCAGATAATATGATAAGGAGAGAAAAATACCGATCAAAGTAAGCATTTAAAGATCTGTTAATAAAACGTAATATTATTTTTATACAAGTTCCCTTTGTTAGTCACGATATGCGACGCGATAAATGGAGAATTAATAACATGGAAGATGTCATTAATGGGCGTTGATTGGTCCTGATAAGCATTAGACTCATAAGATAGGTACAAAAATCATCAGCCTTCCGATATTATCTATAAAAAGGCGTATCGCTGTGATCTGTCCGACGCGGTTAATCTATGGCAATTACGTGACGACTATGTATTTCTCGTGTTTGAGTGCCTGGTATCGAGATCATGATAAATCTCCTCTTTCTTTCTCTCTCTCTTCCCTTCTATACTTTATTGCGTTAGTTATACTAATATTATGAAAAAAGCAAAAATATCACAACGGTAAATATACATAGTGTGAACGAAAAAAGTAAAAAAGATCATCATCGTGTCACTTGATATCATCTCAGCTCGGCCCTAGTTGTGTGAATAAATATACTCCCCGTAATCTTTGAGGCGATATAGCACAGTGATTTTGGTCATTGAATTATATAATACACAGAAATCGTGACGGAGAAATCGAATTTAGGTGGAATTTGATTGGTCAGCTTCTCTCGTTGCCAGCAAAACTCCTTCTTGCCTTGAGAATGAGGATTACATCGTGTAAATCCGCGATCGTAATTACATTATATGAAGAGAAGAAAGAGAGTTATTGAAAATCGGTGAAAGTAATCGAAGGCAGGCGCTAGCCAGATGGCACTGAGGTGTTCCGCGTTTCCCGTTGAAGAATTCTGATCTGCCGTTGAAAGAAGGTGCCCGCGGACGCGAAGAAAAATTAACATTTAATATTTCGGAGTTGTAAATTACTTTGATTACATCCACTCCGTTTGGTGCGACGGTGTTCATAATCAACGATGATGATTCCGCGTCTCGTCCTTGATGAAAGCGCGGATAGGACATAGAGTACGGGCAGCTTCAGGTACCCGTTTCACGGAGCCCAATGACCTGTTCCCTCCGAGCCCGGGTGTATTACGATGTAACCTGATACGCGTTTGATTCTATGTTATTTACGAGCAGGTGTAGCGGCGCAACAATGTTTATCGCGTAATTAGATTCTGTACGTACGCAATCTTTATCACGCGTCGATGAGTTTCGCCGTGGCAAAAATCACGCATGCAGGCGAACGGCGGTGTGTACGCACGCGTGTTCGTGCGCGCGTGTATGTGTGCGCACGCCCGTGCGATGATAATAATTTTCTCAAACAACTTCCCTCCACATTGATTTCGATCGTCACTTTTGCACGCTTTTTTCCGCCTCTTAATCAACGCCTGGCGAGGCTCTCTGTCGCGACGAAAATATTCCCTCGCATGCCCGGGCACTATTGTAAATATCTGCATGATATAAAATAATTACGCGTATCGGAAATTTCTGCGAGGAAGACATCATGGTATTTAATCAAACTTCTCTCTCGACTCTGACTAGCATATTCATTAACGTAACACAAAACGTGCACAGCTCGGTACAATCTTCCGCGATTCCAAACAATGCAGGCAACTTTAATTCGTACTCCCGGCGGTATTAATTTATCGGGGATGATTATTATCATTAATTAACGTTGCAGCTCTCGGGGCATGCCTTGATGCGATTAACCCCTCGTTTCCGCTTATTTCTGCGTAATTTAGCTGAAGGCACACGAACCGCTTTGATGTGGAGCCGCACAAACGATGCGCCGATAACGATTCGCGACCATCATCCTTAAATCATCCTTATTGGGATCATCTTTTTCATCATGATCGCTACCACTAACTATCACCAGGAGCCGTTCCGTTCTCTCCTTCATTAGCGTTTTCTGTGCTGCGAATGAGACTCGTCCGAGCGCACCCGAGTGCCGTCGGATCACTCGCGTGCGGAAAATTAGACAGCCTTCCAATTCGTGAGAGTACTCACGGGGTACATGCCGTGATCCCTCTTGCGTTTCTTGCTCCGTGATCAGTGATCTTCGAGCTTCGAATGTGCCGATGTAGATTCCGCGAAGTCCATTCTCGTCTAGAACGAACCCCCGTAGGGTTTCGCTATTTAGGTGGCCATTTTCTTCGTCCCTTATCTCTCGTTTCCTGGGCTTTGCGCCTCATGGCTATGTTTATAGCCATATACTTCAAGGCTATGTTTCGCGAGGTTTGCATGGAGGGACTTCCGAGCTTGCGCGCGAGATTTTGCATTTGATCCAACCCACCTCCTAAATCCCGTTTATCCTCTACCGACATTGTCCTCGCGATATCGGACAGCGAGTTGCGCTGTCGGGGACGTGAAGATCGCTAAATGACACTTAATTACCAGCCATAGAAGACTCCTGCTAACACCGTTTGTAACTTGGGATTATTAATCAATCGTAAATTAATGAGATACCAATTAATTATTTTACTTCACGTTATGTCGCAGCGCGACATACCAATGAGTAATTACGCGCACGAACGCC